CTAGGATTAAAGGGGTATAACACCACACCTAGATGTGTTAAAATTTTTGACTCAAGCCTGGCGTGGTGGCACACTCCTTTAATCCCAGCACTCGGGAGGCAGAGGCAGGCGGATCTCTGTGAATTCAAGGCCAGCCTGGTCTACATAGTGAGTTCCAGGACAGCTGGGGCTACAGGGAGACCCTGTCTCAAAAAGACCAAAAAAAAAATTTTTTTTTGACTCAACAGTTTTATGTTTTCGAAAACTTAAAAGGTGAAAAATAATCCGTAATATTTATCCAGATGTTTGTTTACCCTCGCTATTCTTTTTTTCCTTTAGCCCCAGGTTTTCCTCTCATATTGTTTCTTTGACTTGGTTTAAGCTGCTCATTCTTATCTAAGGGATGATTCGGGGGCGGGGGGTATTTTTTGAGACAGGGCATGTGCAACCACGCCTGGCTAATTTTACTTAAAATTTTAACATTTATTTGTGTGTATACATGTGCATATGAAGGTCAAATGATAACTTGTTGGAGTTGATTTTGGGTTCTGGGGAATCAAAAAAATCTTTGATCGTTGCACTGTCTGGGCCATCTAGAATTTCACTTCTATTAATCTCCTTTGAAAATTGGTAGTATTTTGTTCTTGCTATGTCTGGTAATTTGAAATTCATCATGGACATTTTGTGTGTTAATGTGGTGAGATTCCTTTAAGACTGTTTTAGTAGACAAGTCAGCCTGGTTAGACTATGACTACAGGTTCTTTCTCATCTTACATAGGCATAGGTTCCAATTTCTGTTGGTCTTTAAAGCCTTTGCCATGCTTGTGTTTGTTTTGTGTTTCTACTTAGGTTGGTCTAGAACCTGGGCAGTGATTTGTCTTGTAGTTTTGTTCTCAAAGCTTCTCCTGTAACTGTGTGTCCCACATATGTGCAGCTTTAGGCACAGATTTTCAATGATTTTCTCCAAGTGTTTGCCCAAACTCCTTGAGGTCTAGGCCTAAGGCCCCTTTCTTTACTCTCCTAGCCAAAAATACACAGTTGTTTCAGTTTAGTTGTCTACCTGTTAGGCCTTGGAGTGAAATGGCAAGGGAAAAAGGAAAATAATAATGAGGACTCCCCTCCCACACTCTTCTTCTCAGAAGCCTACTTCCTGATTTCCTCTTGAGTGATGGATTTTCTCTTTTGTGTTTTTCTGTAGCCACTCTGAAGCCTTGTAGTTCTCTGATTGGGTGTGTTCGAAATGGACTAAAAGGAAAATAAAGAGGTATTCTCCCTACATTCTCTAGGAGACCTTGCCTTCTCTGATCAAAGGAGTGTACTTTCCCAGGTTTCACTGATTATACTTCTGTACAGTTTCTTTTGGCACAACCTTGGGTCAAAGCCAAGAACTAAAAGAGAAAACTTAATGGGTTATATTCATCACCATCTTTTTATTTACTTATTTTTGCAGTGCTTGGGATTTAATTCAGGGCCAGTTACATGCTTGGCAAGGACATAACCACTGAGGTATATATACCCCAGCCCTTTTAAAATCTTATTTGCTCAAACTGGCTTTAACTTGTGATTCTCCACCCTCAGCCTCCTGAATAGCTTCAGGTATGTTAGATAGGCACTCTACCAACTGAACTACATCCCCCAAACCCTGCACTTTATATTTTGTCCATAGGTTTTAATTAACATCAGTGAGCAATACAGATGTTGCAATGGGTTTCTTTTTCCTTTACGACTGGAATCGAAAGTCAGATTGATTTGTTTTCATACACATAAATATTACAGTAATCTCCCTTTAGATATGATTTTGCTTTTGACAGTTTCAGGTTGCTACTAGCAACCATGGTGTGAAAATATTGAATGAAAAATTTCAGAACTAATATGTTTTAATTTACATACTGTTCTGAGTCGTGTGATGAACTCTTACATAATTTTCACTTAGAATTATCTTCCCCTTTTCTGATATATTCATGTGGCTGTGTTCCCTGTACATTATTTGCTTAGTAGCCTTTGAGGTATTGGAGTGTTTGTATATAGACTTCGCTGTAGTTTCAGCCATCAACTGGGGACCTTGGAACATATATACTCCATGGATAAGGGGGCATTCTGTATAGCTAGCTTACTTTTACGTGATTAAATGTACCCATTTTTAGGTTTATAATTTTGAGTGTTGAGAAACGGATACGTCTTTGTAAGTGATACATTCAAGCTATAGAACTTTTGTTAAAAAGTCAGAAAGTTCTAGTGCTTCCTTATATTCTGCCTGCTTACTCCCCACCTTGTACTGAATAACTTTTCTTTGGGGGTGAGTCTTTTTGAGACAGGGTCTCCTGTAGCCCCAGCCAGTCTGAAACTCACTATGTAGACCAGGCTGGCCTTGAACCCACAGAGATCCACCTGACTCTGCCTCCCGAGTGCTGGGATTCAAGGCTTGGGACACCACAAGGTTTGGTTTTTGAGAGAGCATCTCTCTACTTTCTGGGCTGTCTAGAACTTACTATATTGTAGCCTAAGCTGGTCTTGAACCTGTAGTAATCTTCCTGTCTCAGCTTTTAGAGTGCTGGTGTTACATGAGTCGGCACTCTGGGTTTACAAAGTGCTTTGCATATAAAGTACTTAATACATGGCTTAGTATAGAATAATTGTGTGATAAATGCAATTACTTCCCCATCACTCTTCTTCATGAAGTATCTTTTTTTGGTCTTTTTGAGACAGGGTCTCCTTGTAGCCCCAGCTGGCCTGGAACTTTGCTATGTAGACCAGGCTGGCCTTGAGCTCACAGAGATCCCTCTGTCTCTGCCTCCTGAGTGCTGGTATTAAAGGCGTGTGCCACCATGCCCAGCACATGAAGTATCCTTAAGTGACTAGCTAGCTACTCTGAAACAGCTTATCTGAGTCATTTTGGTAATCAGGGCAGTGCATCCAGGTGGTCTTGCCTCAAATAGCTTATTAAATAAAAGAGTAGAACTAGTAATCAATAAATGTTCCATCGTGATTTTGGAGAAGACAAACAGTGGGCCGCAATCATTATTTGTTATTAGAACTCAGACCAAGTAGTAGCAATACCAGGTCATTCTTTCCTTTTTTTCCCCCTCTGAGTAAGTTGAGACTTAATACCTGAAGCATTTTCCTTCAAGTGCACTGTCTAGTGGAGGAATATATAGTATTTATTTTTATATATTAATACTTTAAAAAAATATTTATTATTTTTATTTTATGAGTATATTGCCTGCATGTATATAAATGTACCCATGTCATACAGCACCCCTGGAGGTTAGAAGAGGACATTGGATCCCCTGGAACTGGAATTACAGACAGTTGGTAGCTACCATGTGGGTGCTGGGAATTGAATCTGGTCTAGGAGCAGCTAGTGCTCTTAACTGCGGAACCATCTCTCCAGTCCTGTATCTTAACTCTTGTAGATTGTTGTTTTCTGGAGTGTGATGTTAAGAGAGAATTCTTAGCGTATCTGAGTGTCTAAAGTAGTTAGACTAGAAAAATGTGCGTGGATGAAGTGGAAGAGTATTTTCATTATTGGCCTAGTTGGGGGAAGGGAGTGAGTATAAATGTATTTAAAATTTTCTGTGACAAATGGTACTGTTGAGAATAATCGATAGAGATCTTTCATGACATTTTTATATTAGATTACTTTAACTTAATACTTAACTAATACTGTGATTTAACCACAGTGATATATAAGCAGTTTCAGGCTACAAAGATCTTTTAAAAAATACTCTTTGGTGTAGAATGTTGTCCGTAAAATATAAAACAGACTGAAGTTTTAAGTTCCTCTTCTGGCATCATAACTTGCTCTTTTGTCTTTGAGTCAAGTTTAACTGATCTCTTAGTCCCATTGTTTTACTTGCTTTTTTTTTAAAGCCCTAGCTGGCTTGGAGGTCACCATGTAGACCAGACTGGCCTCAGTCTTAATAGAAATCTACTTGCACCACCACCATGAGGAGACTGGATTTCCTTGTTTTTGAGACACGATATCATTCTGTGACCCAAGCTGGCCTGGAACTCATAGCAATCCTCTCTCAAGTACTGAGATTACAGCCCTGAGTGTGAACCACTGAGCCCCTTAGTGTTTTTTATTTTTATTTTTTTAAATGTACCCAAATAGTAAGTTTGTTAGTTTTATGGGAAATGGAGATATTTGTGAGAGCAGTAAGCTTTGATTTATTTAATAGTTTAATTTTTCCTTCTAGAATGAAAGAGCAACATGAAAGAGCATCCCAAGAGTACACATATACACTGTAATTGCATGATGCAGATATTTTGTAGGTGTGGTTAAATATGTCTGAAGTACTTTATGACTTTGAAGTTATTTGAACTGTTCAATACGTATGGTCTTAGAAATTGTATTCATTACATTTAGTATATTGTTGTGGCAGTCTGTTAAATATTAATCGTAACAAGTTTTTAATTAATGCCTGATTTTTTTTTCCCTCCTTTTAAGATGAGGTCTTGCTATATGGTGCAGACTAGCTTCAAATTCTTCGTACTTCTGCCTCAGCTTCCTGTGTGCAGAGGTTATAGGTGTAGGTGACCACATTTGGCCTAGCATAATTTACTCTGCCAGCTCTTTTCTCTTTGGCTTTTTTTCAGTCCTGTAACTCATAACAGACTTTTAGAATGATCTTGATCTTATAACTAAAGATTTGTTTTTCCTTGTGCACATAAATATTCTAGGGAAGGGGGTTGTGAATGGGATCTGGTGGTAGAGCACCTGCTTTGCTATGCCACAAAGAAATATTCTAGGAAAGGAAATTTGAGTGAGTTATTAATGGAAATTTAAAACCAACCTAGAAGTTTTTTTACATGTTAAAGAGCTGGTGGTTGTGCATGCATGTTATCCCAACACTTGGGATGCTAGGGCAGAAGGATTGTGACTTAAAGGCAATATTGGGCTACACAGAAGGACCTTGAGCCTTCACACAAACACACACACACACACACACACACACACACACACACACACAAGTCAATGAGATAGTTACCTTACATGATTTTTTTTTCCCCTCCTTCAGAATCCAGCAACTATCACGAGAATACTCCTTAGCCACTTCAATTGGGATAAAGAGAAGCTAATGGAAAGGTAAGGAACTATCTTGTTAGCTTTGTGCTTAGAAGTTAGATATAAAAACCTATCGAGCTGAATTTATAAGAAATAAGTAAGAATTGACTTATATTCCGGCATGTGACCAATGTGTAGGTCATAATTACATTTCTTGTATAGCAAATTTTGTAATGAAGTTAATGTTAGAAAATTCAAGTTTAATGTTATTTTGTTTTGAAGATGAAGTGGCTTATTAAATATATCCTCTTGAGTTCAAGAAGTAAAAATAGAATCAAAAAAAGCACTTGATATATTCTTGGAACATATAAATAAGATCTTCCCTTTTAGTCACTTAGAGTGATTTTTTTTCTTTTGTTCATGAACCTTGAAATCTTTTTGGTATATAAATGACATTTGTCCAGTAAAAACAAAATTGAGAAGTTACTTAAGATTTCCTAGTTGCTTGTATAGGTGCTTGGACTGGTTGTAGGGCAGGATTCTGTTCTGTTGGATAATTTATAAATTTTGCTTCTAAGAATCTATCTCATTAAAAAAAAAGTATTTGGATGGGAGACTGACAATATTAATGCCCTCTTTAACGTATTTTGTTCCTTAGATTGGAAATTTGGGTAGTTGTCAACTTACATTTAGTCTTAACTTAAAATTTTATTTTTATTTTATGTTTTACCTGCATATATGTGGGTGTATCACGTGTTTGTGGATCCCAAAAGAGGGCGTTGGGTCTCCTGAAACTGGAATTATAGATAGGAGTCACCATGTAGGTGCTGGGACCCGAACCCAGGTCTTCTGCAAGAGCAGCCAGTGCTCTTAACTGCTGAACTGTCTGTTCATCCCCTCATATCAGCTTTATTTTATTAGCAATTTTAATTATAAAAAAATTGCAGCTAGCTGAGAACTGAGACTCTAAATATTGTAAGAAGTGAACGAAAAAATTTTCCCATTCGATTCTCAGATTCAAAGTACTATCTGAAATATGACACATTTCATATACCTTGTATTCCATTTATAATTTAATAGTAGCTGTTCATTATTGAATACTCTCTGTTAGATGCTGTTTGATGAATTTTTTTTTTTTTTTAAATCCTCCTGATAGTTGTTTAGGGCTAGAAAATAGGTACTTGATGTGTAAACTTAAGTTTTAAGACTTATTCATCTCAGTTTTATAACACAAAGACTTGAACATGTTGGTCTCCAAAGCTTATGTTTTAAATGCATGTTATATTCAGCTTTCCTAGGGTTTGTGAAAGATAATCTATCTTACTGTTAGGGTGTTTTTGTTTTTTTTTTTTAAATCTTCTCTATGTATCTTGTCATGTTTCCCAATTTTGCTGTCATTTACTTTCAGGCCTGTTTTATGACACTTCTGTTAAGAAAAGTAGTTTTCAACATTTACATTAATAACTAAAGTTATTTAGTTTGTCTTAATTTAACCTAGCCAAAGATATTCTGAATTTTTTTTTTTTTTTTTTTGAGACTGGGTCTTGCTGTGTAGACCGGGCTGCCCTCCAACTGACAGAGATCCGCTTGATTTAGCCTCCTGAGTGCTAGAATTAAAGGCATGTACCATCTCATCTGCCTTCTGAAAACATATATCTTTTTTTTTTTTTTTTTTAAAGATTTTTATTTTATGTGTTTGAATGTTTGGCCTGCACATATGCAAGAGCACCACATGGGTATCTGGTGCCTTTGGAGACCAGAAACGGACATCAGATCCCCTGAAACTGGAAGGGTTTTAGTTACTATGTGGGTGCTGGGAATTGAACCCAGGTCCTCTGGAAGAGCAGTAAGTGCTCTTAGCCACTGAGGCCCCTCTTTTTGGCCCCTGAGAACTGTATTCAGTTAAGTCTTATACTTAAGTGTGGTTTGAATTAAGAAATGATAAGCTTCTGATAAACTGTTAGGAACCTAAAGATTTATAATTGAGTCATTGATTAGTGTCTTTAGAAACTTGTTCTGTATGTATGGCTGAGGATGTAGCTTGGTAGTAGATTTGAAATCTTGCCTGTAACAACAACAAACAAAATCAATATACAGTAATTTGTTTCATTTAGTGATTTTTTACATTATTTTACATTGTATTCTGTGTTTGATATTAGCACTGCTATGCTTCATATTTTAAGCCTTTTATAATTTTTTTCTAATTTTAAATATTCCACCTTCATGGATTATTTGCTTTTAGATATATCTTTTGTAAATAACATAGGTCATTTAAAAAAGTTTTAAAAGCGATAAGTATACATTAATGGTTTAGGATAACATATTTAACTTTTTTGGGGGGGGTGGGGTGTCTTTTGAGACAGCGTCTCCCTACAGTCCCAGCTGGCCTGGAACTCACTATGTAGACCAGGATGGCCTCAGTTTCAGAGATCTACCAGCCTGTGCCACCACGCCTGGCTTTAGTTTTAACTATTTTAAATTGTTAAGTTATCCTAGTAGTTAGCATTTTTCCATATAGACATGAAATTGTAGGTTTATAGCTATATAGTTACTTAATTTGTATCATCTCCTGACACAGTGTAACATTTTTCCTCTCTATCCTTTCCTTTTCCCCATTCAATTTACATTGATGTTAAGCAGTGGCTGCTGCTACTTCTTTCTTCTCCCCTCCCCATCCCCCTCCTCCTTTCTTTACTTTTCTTAAAATTTTTTTTCATTTATGTATTATGTATATGTGGAGGTCAGAGGACAGCTTGCCAGTTGTTTTTCTCCATGTACCCCATGGGTTTTGGGAAACAGGCTTAGGTTTTCAGACTTGGTAGCAAGCACCTTTACCCACTAAGCCATCTTGCCAGTCCTTTATCTGGATTTTTGAGACAGGATCTAGCTCAGGTTGGTCTGGTTTTTTTGTATGAGTGTTTTGCCTGAATGTGTTTAAGTGCACCTGTGTTGTGCAAAGCTTGTAGAGACCAGAAGACGGCATTGGATCCCCTGGAACTGGAATTATGGATGGTTGTTAGCCACTATGTGGGTGCTGGGAACTGAACCCTGGTCTTCCGGAAGAGCAATTAGTGCTCTTAATCTCTGAGCCATCTCTCTAGGGTGCTGATATTATAAGTATGCTGTACCACCATGCTCCATGCTGGGCTTCTTTTTTTTTTGTCTTTTTGAGACAGGATCTTCCTGTAGCCACAGCTAAGCCAGGAGCCCACTATGTAGACCGGTAGACCAGAGATCTGCCTGCTTCTGTTTTTGAGTGCTGGGACGAAAGGTGTGCACCACCTTGCCTGGCCTTTAAAAAAAAAATTCCTGGCCGGCCTGGAACTTGCTGTCCAAACTGGGCTTGAAGTTGTAGCAATCCTCCTGCCTCTGCCTCCTGAGTTGCTAGGATTACAGGTATGGCTCACTATACCTGGATAGGTTTATCTTTTAATTGAACCACTTATTTTCCATCTGTTCTGCTCTTTAGCTGTCTTAACCCTTCCCCCCAAATAATATCCAAGTTATTTTTAGTAACATTCTAGTTTTGTGAAAGCTGGTTTCTTTCTTTTTTAATCCCCTCCCCCACCCTGAAAGCTGGTTTCTTATACCTCTTAGTATGTCAACTATTCTTGTAACTTTTGGAGGGTGACAGAGTGAGGAAATAAATTTTTAGAACTTTTTTAAGACAAGATTTTACACTGTACTTCAGACTATCCTGGAATTTACTATGTAGCCCAAGCTACCCTCAAATTCATGGCAGGTCTCCTGCCTAATCTGCCCCAGTGTTAGTTACAAGGATGAGCCACCATGCTCATCTGTTAGCAATTCTTGTACCAAAATAATTGTAGCTAAATTAGAGTACATACAAATGTGAAATGTATCTGAAGAAATACAGAGAAATATTCAGTTTTAAGTGTATTTTTAAAAATACTTTATTATTTTTATTTTATGTGTTATGCGTATATTACCTGCATGTAGGTAAGTGCACCTGTGTCATGCAATGCCCGTGGAGGACAGAAGAGGCTGTCAGATCCTCTGGAACTGGCGTTACGGACAGTTGTTAGCTGCCATGTGGGTGCTGGGATTTGAACCTGGGTTTTCTGACAGAACAGTTAGTGTTCTTAACCACTGAGCTATCTCTCCAGCCCCCTTAAGTATATTTATTAGAAAAAGATAATGAAGTCAAAATGGAAGCAAGCCTTTGAAATATTAGGTTAGAAACATAAACCCAAAGAGGTAGGATAGATATTTAAGATAAAGGCAGACATCCTGAAATAGAGAATAACAAAAAAAGGATAAATTATAGTCTTACAGTGAATTTTTAAAATGGAAATATCAAAAGAATCACAATCCAGGCCACAGAGTAGAACATGTATCTGTTAAAGAAGGGACTCTTACCCCAAATACCGAGAGAACGCTTAGAAGTCAACAACAAAACAAACAACTTGACTAAAAACTTGGCCAAGTCAGACACCATGGCACATGCCTGAAATTCCAGCTCTTAAGGAGGTTGAAGAAGGAGGGCAGAGAGTCAGAGGCCTTGGCTACATTGTGAGGTCCAAACCAGTCTGGGTTATATACCCAAAGCTTATCACCAAAGAAACAGAAAAGGGAACCAGTGACCTTAACAAATACTTCATCAAAGAAAACATGTAGATGGAAAGTATGTCTATTTTAAAATGCTCTTCATAGATTAAAATGGTGGGATGTTAATACATACCTGTTATAAGGATGAAACCCCAAACAACTCATGTCACCCAATGCAGCTCCAGAACATGGAACAGCAGGAACAATCACTAAAGATGGAGATGAAAACAGTTTAGCCATGGGGGAAGACTGGAAGTTTATTACTAAACAAAACATTCTCTTAACATACAGTCCAGCAATAATGCTTCTTGGTGTTATCCAGATGAACTGAAAACTTACCACACAAAAACCTGTATGTGTACATGAATGTTCATAGAGAAGATATTTATAATTGCCAAAATGTGGAACAATCAAGATAACCCTAAGTGGATGTTCAGATAGATACCTGTGGTATATATCCGGAATGGTAGCATCATTCAATGCTAAAAAGAAATGAGTTGTGAAGATGTGAA